TTTTCATAATGTCTTCCATTTTTGTAAAGCACTTTGAATTGCCTTGTGTTGAAAGGTGCTATATAAATAAACTTGCCTTGCCTTGCCTAAGTAAAGGATCTCAATACTTTTGCACCACTTTGGCTACACTTATCCTGCTAATAAAACATCTTGTTTGTCTTTAACCGTTTTCATCTGATCCATGTACTGACCAGTGTTTATCTCATCCTGGTGCACCGTTACATTAAAGCGACCACAGACTCCAATGAGCAAATTAGGTTAGACGGACAGAAGCAACATTTACCCTTGTTATTTGCCGTAATACATTTTGTTGTCTCTCAAATAACATTAATTTGCTCTAGATCCCTGTGTAAATGGGGTCAGAGCCGAATTAATGATTCGTGACCTATCCTTAATTAATAAGCTTATCCGGCTAGCTTGGCCTTTAGGCCTCAATAACAGAGGCGGGGGTAGGACAGGCGTTTGATGTTGGGATGTGCTGAATCTACAGGCACCAGACGGGGAAGCGAGAGCAGATTATTAGATGAACATTGTTTTCTGCTTGTTTGAGCAGCACCATCACTGGCAGATCATTCTAATGGAGATTCATATTTATGCTGAGGAGGTGTTGACACAGCGTGAGGGTGGAGGTGGGGTCGGTGCGAACACAGACTCTCTGGCTCTGGCTTTGAATTATCGCCTCTCTGCTTGCTGCATGGCCCTTAAGCCCTGCTGCTACATATCTTTCCCTCCTAATGCACACACACACACACACACACACACACACACACACACACACACACACACACACACACACACACACACACACACACACACACACACACACACACACACACACACACACACACACACACACACACACACACACACACACACACACACACACACACACACACACACACACACACACACACACACACACACACACACACACACACACACACACACACACACACACACACACACACACACACACACACACACACACACACACACACACACACACACACACACACACACACACACACACACACACACACACACACACACACACACACACGTCCTCTGCTTATCTTGGCTTATATAAACTGGTAAACTATGACTATGTTTTTATTTTTAACATTCTCTTAATTTCCTGCAACGCCTTCAAACAACATTTGGCCTTCTTTAAAGCTTCTAAGGGATTTCTAGAGCAGCTGAAGAACAGGTTGATGGCTATGAAAGGGCATTGGGCTTATATATTAAAGCAACTTAAGTACAAGACATGGCCAAATATATGTTGACACTTAAGCATGGTACCCATAGTTGTTTGTCATCCCTGTATCACACTGTTTTACCCTTGTCAGATAACAGTGGATTCACATGGGACCCAATTGGTCAGAGTAAGAGACTGATTGAGGAAATAGTGCCTATAAATTAAGAGAAACAGGTGATGGCAGGCAAAAAGACCTCAACAACAAAAAAACAACGACCTAGCACAGACACATTCACAACACGCTTCTACTCATAGCCCCTCACATACAAATGCAAACAAAAATGCATTAACACATTTTCCCCACCAGTTAGGATTGTTTCATGTTGGAGATCAAAAGAGCCCATCGAACAACATGTATTTGATCAAGGGCAGCCTTAAGGACACAGGTTTGAAATGGACGCACAGCATGTTTCAAACTGTATGACACAAGAACAACAATATTATAGTGAGGAAAGCTTGTAATTACACTCAAGATCAAAATCACTTCAAGGACCTTGAAGTGCTGCAGAGGACAGGGCCAGGTACTAACTGCTGCTTTGAAGATATTGGCCCTGCTTCACATGGAGAGAGGAGGAGCGGACCCCACTGTGTGTGCGGCTCATAAACCCTCTGATGGACGAAGGGGGTTATTTGGCCCTGGTGTATGTTCACAGATGTGTTGTTATGTTGCAGTTTGAGTCCAGAGAGCCTCCAAACCCCACTGTGCACAAGCCACTGTATTTTGAAATGAAAAAGTATTCATGTTGAAGCTATAGGGTTTTGTTGGCATGCATTGCTGTCTACTTCAATGGCTACTCCCAGTGAAGTCTGGAGAAGGACACAGAGGATGCTGGCTACAGATTTATGGAGAAAATGATATATAAGCTGTGTGTCCCTCCTCTCATTAATTAGGTAACCATTAGTATTGTCACGATGTTGCTTTAAAGTCACAAAAGACTACAAAGAAGAACATCTTAGAAATATGAGCTTTGTTGAGGATAATAAGGATTTCTTTGGAATCTCAGGATTATCTCGTTTCTGCTCTCCTCTGATTGAGATAGATATGACCTATCAATGTAATGGCTCACACCTGATGAGACTTTATGTAAGGGTTTGCTTTTAAAAATAAGAGGATTGCAGTATTTTTGAAAAATGATTGTTCATCTAACTCAGCCATGAAATCAGGACACGCATCTGCATCTACTTCGTGACTTTGTTTTTGACTAACAGAAGGATGGATGTTGCTTTATCAGAAATCAGGAATGGATGATGTGTTTGTGAACGTTGTTAATAAACTTTAACATTACATTCCTGTCACCGTGACTGTGTTTGGCTCCGAGGTGGGGGGATTTAAAACGTACTCAAACAAAGTAAGAAAAATGCAACATCAAAGGCTTGGATTTGAATTTGTCCCTTCAACTTGATTTCACAGTGAAGCGTTGAATTAAATAGAAATGCCAAATGAAAGTATTTTCACAAACATTTTTAAAGGGGACCTATCATGCAAAATGCACTTTTGTACGTCTTTTATACATGAATATGTGTCCCCGGTGTTCCAGGGAACTCACCAAGTGTCAGAAAACACAACCCTCTCTCTTTTTCTCTAAAAACGGGGCTGCAACGGATCTGATAAAAACTGATCCAGATTTGAACATTCCTCTGACGTCAGGACGGCGGAGCTGACCTATCAGGGGAATCAGAGGTTGCCGTGGCATGGTAACAGCATGGTAACAGCATGGTAACAGCATGGTAACATGACGCTCGTAACTCGGCCCCCTCCTTTGCAGGGGGGCGTGGTCAGCTGCAGCTCATGCAAAGACAGGGTGGAGGAGAGCAAAATAGAGCGAAATGAGGCATGGCTAAAATGCATGATCTGTTTGGTATTTTGAAAAAGAAAACGTATAAATATACCTTATATAGGTATGGCCCTACAATATATTATTCAAATATAGCATGATAGGTCCACTTTAAGATATCCTATAGGGACGTTTTATAAAAGCTCCAGAAATCTGCACCAGGCCGACTTCACAAGGTACATATAGTAAAAGCATTTCGGACGCTTTTTTGTCTTTAGTTTACTTTCCTAACAGTGGCAGATACACAGTCCCACCTCACAGTTCTGACACTTTCTCATCAGAAGGAGTTATTTGTCTACCTACACTGGATAGGAGACTGGATGGGAAGGCGAGCATCCTGTAAATCCTTGGAGAGGATGAAAGCAATCGAGCTCTCATAAATTCTCCAGGCTGACTGGTGGAGGCTGCTGAGGAACAGGAAGTGCTTTTTCACAAACAACCAGCAGACAGAACGGTTATTTCTGCTGGTGTTACATGCATGAAAGCCACAGGTCAGGTTCACTTTGGGATTATAGCATTTCAGTCCATTTACATGCACAAACACCTGTAAATATAAACACACTACAGGGGAGGGAAAACCCCAAAAAGTGTAATCCAGTCATTTGCTCACTTCTTCCGCAACTCGAGGCTGTTGCTGTAAAAACCTCACAATCTAAAACATTTCTGCATAAAAGGCTTCACATTGGAGCAAGCTTGCTACTCGTCCTTGTGAGTCTGGCCTCCTAAGTGTTTGTATTATTTGTTCAATGTAGAAGCATGAGAGTAAAACTAAGTGTTTTTCACAAATTCAAGGAAACACTGGGTGAGTGATAAACAAACAAATGTTCAAGTATTCCTTCAAAGATGTGTTGGTTTCGTGAGTGTATTTGGAAGCCTGCATAAATTGGAAGCACTGCAACGTCTATCCTGCAGATTGCTTAGACATATTGATCTTAAAATGCTGATAAGATAGCAGTGCCCCTTATACAATCATCTTAAAAGGGCCCTTTTGACTTAAAGAGCACATTGGTGTGTGTTGGTGGCTCTTTGGACCCAAGGCTGTTTGAATTTGCTTAACTCTTACTTTCAAAATACCTCTGAATCCTCTCTCTGCCCCACTGTTTCCACATTACATGTCCTTCCTCTGTCAGGAGAAGACTGCCCAATCCGATCTCCATAATGAAAAGTGAGCTCTCCCTACCACCCTCCTCCCCTCCCCCTCACCTGCTTTCTCTCTCTGTCGTCAGCTTCTGTCTCCTTTAACTCTCCTCTTAAACCCTCAAAGTCACACTCAAAGTCAGTTCAAAATGTGTATAGGATCCTGCGTGAGTTTGGGATATACCAGGGTCACAATGTAAGGATACTGTTGTGTAGTATGAGTGTTTGCTGAGTCTATTAGCACCTGGTTTGACCATGTTTGAGGTTGGATCACTAACGACTAAAACACGGTATTGTGCTGATGATACAAGATAAATATGGAACTCAAAGAGGTCTGTTAAGCCCACTTCTGGACTAATCTGCTCTCACCCTCTGTGCCAAAAACAAGCAAATATCCCGACCCAAAATACGCTAACAGAAGCTCCGCAGCACATCCATGTGTATACCAGAAGAAGGAGTAGTTTTGATTTGCTGTATTCGGCATTAAACATAACTACAAGGAAGATAAAATGCTCATGATATGTGCTACTGTAGAAATCTGTGAGCTTTTATTAGCCAAGACATAAGGTGAAAGGTGAGATCTGCTATTTACTGAAGAGTGGTTGGTGACACCACTGACCTATTGTCACGCTTCAATTACCTTTGCAGGCGGAGTTAACTGACGGACGGACAGACAGATTAGATTATCCTGTCCGGAGAGAAACAATCCTCAAACACACACACTGTGTTCAGTGTACACACACAAAGTGGAAATGACTTCCTGTGAATCTCACCTTTCCTGCTGCTGAGGCTCCTTTGTCCATTGAGAAGCTGCAGAGAAACAGATGAAGAGGAACAATTAATCACTGAGGGACAGTAGAGTCGTTACACAAACAAATACATACACACACACTCACACACACACACTGTTTTCACGGCAATTATAAGGAATTGTAGTCACATTGATGAAAAACTAAAACAGATAGATATATGTTTTACATTTAGGGTTCTTACGACAGCTATTGTTCCTTGAAAGAATAGCGGTATGCGAAACATATTCAATAAATGTACTGATGAGACTTCACGTAGCGACAGTAGTAACTTGAATTCGACCTGTGAAAAGTTTGCCTACACACTAGGGGAGTCTGGGAGCAGCAAACTTAATGTTCCTGATGTTTGAGAAGGACATCTTTTTTGTATTTTTAAACTTACATGTGTTCCCCCTTCATGTCCCTTTGATGGCTCTGTACATCATATGTATGTCCTTCCTTAAAATAAATCCTCAAACATATTTGTCTCATTATTTTGCAGCCACCCATCCATTCTGCATGACTACACAGAAAGGAATCTCGAAGCACTGCCACAAGTGTGTTGGATATGATATATAATGATTATGATATGAGGACGGATAAGGAATTGTCAATATAGTTAAATGAAAAAGTAATTCTAAATTCAATAATTGATGAGTCAATGTAATACTAGAAGACATGACCAGACTACAAACTGCAGCTACGCTCTTAGACTGATTGATGGTTTTCTTTTCATTCATGACTTTCATCTGAACCTTCTTCCCTTCTTCACGTTTGATTTTCTTGGATTGAAGTTAGAGTATACATGTAGCACTTCCATGCACTGATAGACACACACAAATCATAAAACTGCTAAAGCTTATATCAACATTTTCTCACAGTCCTCTCAAACACACACTCACACACTTGGCAGCTACAGTATGATAAAGAGGATAAGCAATATCTAAACTAACAGCTTTTCATTTTCATGAATATATTTCTCATTCCTCACAGGCGGATAAATGCGTACTTCCACAGATTTTAAATTTTCGTCATGGCTTTTATGTTTTCTTATGATGTGGCACAAACTGCTGCAAATGTTAAGTGGCCATGTCTGCCCGTCAGGCTTTTTAATAAATGTGAAGCACAGACATCAAAATGCATGTCACAAACGCAGTCGACTAGATGTCTTCACATCTTGAAGTGCCCACCCAGTAATATGCTTTAAATCCACTGGTTAACAAGTCACCTCAAAGCGCTGCCTCCGGGGCAAGAAGTTACAGGGAATATATAAAATACTGGGGTACGAGAAAGAGTGCAGTCTCACCTGGAAAAGCACCGTGTGGAGACCTGTTTCAGGATTCTAATTCAATTAACCCGCTTGACTCTTGAGACCAACCATGCCATTTATTCTCAGCATAGTGATTATTTAAATGTCTCCTCCATGCCTGCGCTCGGTGTACCGTCAGATAATTGGTAGTCTTGATGTAAAACATAGGCTAGTAAATTAAACACAGTGTGCAGCACTTTGCTCCGACTGATTTAAAATATGCAACATGGCAGAAAGAAGCAGATCATGAAATAAAACATTATTTCAAGTAAGAAAATGTAATAATTTATTAAAACATGACTGTAAAACTGTGTTTAATATCTGAGTGCCTTTATATGTTAACTTAGCTTTTACAATGCTGTTACTTATTTTCACCATTGATGTGTACCGTCCTTTTTTAATATAATACTAATGTGTGTTTTTTCCTCTATATTGAATATGTTAGCTTACCCCGCTGCAGGACTAATAAAGGATTTCTGATTGTGATAAATGTTCTACTGGTTAGCTGTCCCTCCCCTGCAGGAAGCACTGAGCTAACTATAAACCAATCCCTCAGGAGGGTGTTCACTCGCTATCAGTTTTAAAGTGGAATACCTTTTTGAGCTCTGTTTATCTTTGGAGAATCAGAGAGGCAGAGAGTTGTCGGGTTGAGTGTGATTGAGTTGATGAGGAAATGAGTCTGGCATTTACATCAGACTTTAATTTGGCTGTTGGGGCTCACATTCATTCCAGGTGATGAGCTGCAGATGAGCTGCTCAGGTGTGGCATTTTGAGAGGAGCTTTTGATATTTTCCAACAGAGCTGCATATTTTTATTTCTGCGAAAGGAGTAAATACAATTTCTGCCATCAGAGATAGACACCTGATCACATTAGGCGGCTAGAGTCTTTTCCATCTACTTTGGATCAAGACTGGTATAGGACGTTTTTCATTTTTTATAATAAAGTCTAAAATCTTCTGGGGTTTTATCAAAGTGTTTAGAGAGTTTTGCGGTTAAACAAATCATATTATATTATGTGTATTATACAAATAGATACAGACACTGTAAAAATACAAGGTGCAACTCTTTTCTATTGTGTTATTAATATGGTAGTTCTTCTCTTCCTGGATACTGATATAGAATTTGAATTTCTGTGTTTGCACAAGGGCTTGGTAAATACTAGAAAGATCTAATGAAAGTCAATGTACTGTAAAGACGTTTTGGATTTGTGTCTCTAAGCATTTGGTTTACGTGGAGAATATCTCCAGCTGCCTCAGGTGTGCTGTAGAGCAAGCAGAGAAATCAATGTTGAAAAAGCCCAATTAATAGTTACTTTAATGTTTTAAAATACTAGCATACTCATCGACAAACGCTGCAGGGTTCCCTTCATGACAACTGTACATTTGGTGAACTATAATATATATCTTATATAAGGGTTGAAGTTCAATTTTCTTTGGCATTCGTGGGTGCTGCCATTCTGCCTCTTGAACCTAGCATGTCTTAGTGCCACCCAAAAAGCTAATGTTCTGGATCATCTGTCCATGTCCAAAGTTGCGCTGCGTCTCAATTAGAATATGTTCCTTAGTACACAGTGAACACTTTCATTTCAACCGTGTAGTGCAGTGGAAGTGACAATGGCTGCTGTTATTTCATGTTAATCGCCCAGCTTGCTAGCTAGTCTGCTGAATTAACCCATTGTGAGGCTGAACAAAAGTAAATGTAGTCTTTCAAAAAACAAAACATTTACTGAATTTTTTAGGATACCTTAAAGTGATGTTGTAAAATAACAACCGGGGGCCTTACAGGGTTAATAATGATTTAGCCTAAAAAAGACGATACCCCAATTTATAGACCGCTCTCAAGTCAATGGGAACATTATTTTTTGGGCCAATGACGTCGTGGACTGACACGGACTGAAAAGCTCTTCAGAAACCTATGTGTGATGTCACGGAGAACAGGTTCATATTTTCTTACAGTTTATTGGTCTAGATTTCTTTGTGACCAATCACAACTCACCCTGCGATGCTGCTGTTGGCCGAGCTCTCTCCTATCTGCGAGCTGGCGATCCACTTGGTCTCCCCCACCACCGTCCTGGCGTGCGGCAGGCGGCCCACATCCTTCACCGTCATCATCAGGTGCCGAGACGACTTCAGGACCCGGACGGCCTCGTCGTGCGGGATGCTCAGGAAGCTGTGCCCGTTCACCTCCAATATCTGATCTCCGACCTGCAGGGAAGGGAGGGAACACGTAGGCATGGTGGGGGGGACTGAGCGAGGCGGTAAAAATGGTCCGTGCAGAGACTGCCGCATGCATAGGATCAAGGTCAAAGGTCAGAGAGGGCAGATGGAGGTGGTGGAGGAGTGTAACATGTTTAATGGATTAGAATGAGATAATTAGGTGGTTGGTTTCTTGTTAAAAGCTCTCTCAGGTTGGGTGAAATAATTACACAGAATAAAGTTTCATCCGCTCACTGACAGGTTCAAGACCAGCACTGTTTAATATGTAATAGAAATGGCTTTCATATGAAAATTCACATTCTATCTAAGAGCGGAGCCTGAAGGCAGCGGCAGGAAGTGGATAATGATGTCCATACTAAACACCACCTTGGACTGTACCTCCTGTCTCTGATAATGAGCTGATGTTTTGGAGCTACACCCTCAAGGTCGATCCTCTGAGGTGTAGCAGGGACCCCCGTCTGTGCTCAATGAGGCGGAGCAGCTTCTCAATTTTAAACTGCAATTTTCCTACATACTTGATCTGTGAGCAGGCCTCGCTTGGTTTTATCTCACAGCTGTCAATCATGACTTTTATTATGTACAACTGACAGAGAAAAATTTGAGAATTAGAAAAAGGATAATACATAACTAAAAAAGGTCCTAAGAGGTCAAATCAATAATCAAAACAGAAAATGCACATGAAATTGAGGTTCTGGACTGCTTCGAGGTATTTGTTTATCCCAATGCGTTTGGGGTATTGAGTTGAAACCCGTTTGATCAACAATGGGGTAAGTATGGAGTCCGAAAAATAACGTAAATAAATGTGAAGAAAAATGTAAAAATACTTTTATTTATTTATGTATTAATTGAATTATTTCCATATTTATTTATTATTTCAAATGTAGTTTTTATTCCTCGATTTTTATTTAATGTACTTATGTATTTATACATTTATTTATGTATTACTAATTTAATAGTTATACTACTTATTTACTGTCATTTACCTGTTGTAAAATAATGGATAAACATGGCAGAGAATACATTTATACTGAAAGTGTTTGAGATTGTGGATTATTTTGTTAATCTGCTGCTTCAAGATCATCTATCACTGCCCTAGAAACCGATTCATACACAAAAATAAGGGCAGAAATCCAAGCTTATTTGAAAACCAAATCTGTTGTTATTCATATCATATATCAGCTGTTTATGATGGAAATGTCAGATCAAGTTAGCTTTAAATGCATTTGATAAGGCATTCAGTTTGCCCTTTAGCAGCATTAGAGTCAAAAGATGTTGTCCTCCGTGTGGTGAAGATGTGAATGTTAATACACTACAGTCTAAAAGCTATAGGGATATATAACTTCTTCATGATTTGTCTAGCCTAACCTCTTTAATAAGGGTTCTATATGTAAAATGGCACAAAAAACCATGATAATTGTAATGAAGGAGGGATGAAAAAGAAGCGATAGCATAGAGAAAGCTACCATTGGCCTTAACAATATCATGCATTTCAAACAGTAAAGACAAACACCTTTCAAAAAAGCAGGATGAGACATGGTCCCTCCAACCCCCTACTCTACTCTGATCGAGGTGTGCACATCTGCACACATGGAGAACTCATAATTGCCAATTATACACAGTGTGCAAACTAAGAGAGAAGTGCTACTAAGTGCTTCATTTGGACCTGAGTCCCTGTACACACACTGTCGTAAGAAATAGTCCCTTGTCCCCCAAATGTAAAGAAATAATGGCAGGTAGTTCAGATGCTTAGTGCTTCACACTGACTCTATTAACTTTACCCGTCACCATAACTGTAATAAATTAGTCACAGAGGACACTCTCAACACTCCCCCTTTACAGGCACAGAGTCGACGGTCCTGCAAATTACTCTGTCTGGCATTTCAACTTGATGTAGTGTTTAGCATTTAAAGAAAGTCCCCAAATGTTACTTTCTGTCTCTTTGTTCCATTCCCTCTTTACACTGGTCGGCCAACCGCACCTCCCAATCATGTCCAGTGTCTTACAGGAAGCAGCAGCCGGAGCAAACTGGAGATGAAAGACATTCAGAATCTCGTACGTTTCAGTTTCTTGGGCTTTTTCCGACAGCCCGAGATGACCTGACTAACTGTATGTCACCGCTAATGCACCTCGGCACATCTGAGGACATGCTCCACATAAACCTCCACCTTTATCAGAGCCTTTTATGGCACCGTTTTTATTATGTATGAGGGCCGTTTGATTGCAAATGCAAGGAGGGAAACATAATCAAAACTGCATTTTGAGATGCAATCAATCTCATCTCGTCTACCATACGCTCTGCTGCGGCGGCAAACATTTCTTATTCAGGCTTAACTGAGGCCTTAGGAAGAAGAGACAGATTTTAAGAGAGATTACAAGCGTTTTTCTTTCAGCTGTTTGTATAACAAAAAGCCACGGAAAAGACTCAATAATCTGCTTCTTACAGACTTTATACAGTGCTTAGACCCCAGAGATCAGTTTGTTGGGAGCTCAGCTCAGTTTATCTCAGTTTCACTTGGAATAGACGCAGCTTTAGAGCACACATGGCTTTTGAAATGTACACAGCTCGCACACAAACACACTGTTATTTGACTTCATTGTGTTCATATCTCTGTCCCTTGAAGATAGTGTCCTAGTCCCGTTCAGCCATGACATTGCGATAGTGAGTCAGCATTTAAAAAATACCTTGGCTGAGTCCCATATCATTCCCCATTTAATATATAGGTCTCTTTATTGACCCTCAGCGTGAGAAGTGAGTGTAGTAGTAGATGTAGACTGCTGTTTGCCAGAGGTGGAATAATATCCTTTATTTAAGTATAAAGAAACCAATCCTGCTTTCAAAGTTGGACAAAAACTAAGGGTATTATCATACAAATATAGGCTACCTAAAGTCCTCACTTTTGACATTCTTATTATTTTTTACATAGTTGACTTATCTCTGCATTTGACTCGCACCATTGTGTCACGTGCACTACTTTCTTGCATTATCTTGTGTCTGTTTCTTTACCTTTCTTCAGTATATTGCCGATTGGAGGAGCCTCAGACTTCAGATTTTCATAAGCAACAACTTTGCTATAGCTTTCGCATTGGACAATAAAACCTTTGAGTTTTGTAATATAACTCACAAAATATGATAGGTAGATAGACTAAAGGCTGCAACTGATTACTGCAACGTCAACATATGTCCTAGAGAGACCCCCGCCCCAGCACGGATGCTGAAGTCATGGCCATTAGGTAGGAACTGCTGTTATCGCTGCGAGCTGATTTTACGGCTATTTTCCAGGATCAGATTCGGGCAGTGCTTGAAAGTGAAATGTCAGCTATAAAATTAGAAAATACAAGCTGCCAAAACAGAACTCTCCAACTGTAAAGCTGCCATAAAAACGAGGTGGCAGTGATGGAAACAGGACTGTGTAGGTGTCTGGTTTTATGTCGAGGTTTTACAGCGTACAGTATAACAACTTTCCTCCAGGTAGCATCCTTAGAAAAAGGTATGTGGAGGTTTAGGAAGATCCAGGTGCAATAATATCTGCATAGTACGGGGACCAGGAGGCCAGAGCAGTCTCTGTGAAGCTGAGAGAAGATTTCCAGCTCGGAATGAATCCTAAACTGGACAGAGTGCACTGGACCTGACAGCCATTACAGAAACAAGCGCCCTCCAGAGCCTTAGTGTCCCGTCTTTATGACTTACTGACTGCTGCACAGAGGCGAGTGAAGGCGATTGATATACCAATCTCTTTCCATGCACACTATATAGCAAGTGGCACCATGCACAAGCAGCATGCGATGGCCACAGACATTTTGGTAATAATATTTTAATAATACAAATAATCACAATAAGAGAAAAGAAAAGGAAATTAATGTATTATACTTTGTTAATTTATGAATATATGTTTTAACAGCTTAAACGCTAAGAAAGAAAGATAAATATTTATTAATTATTAGCCACTTCATTTTGCTTGTTAGCATTATGCATCCTTGGTTTTATGAAAGGCACTATATAACTATATATTAAGTTATTATTATTTGTATGCAATGCTTTTCATTTTATAGCACTATTAAGCACAACCATACCTGTCAGTAATGATAACATTTTTTATTCTGAAATCTAAATGTATTCCTCATTATAGAGTGAGCTGATAAATATTGAAAAGCTATAGAAGAAAACCTGCTCCAAATCTGTACATGACCCCCCCATTGAGGCTTTTCAGCCATTATATTCTTTTAGAATGACAATGAGCGGAAGTAAAAGGTAAAACAATGCTGGATATACCACTAGTCTAATAATCAATTCAAAGCCCAGGCTCTAAAGCCGGGGAAGCAGCTCGACTTGCAGAGACTTACCCTACAAGGCTCTTTATACCATTCCCCATTAATTCCCTGTCCCCTCAGGACATTTTAATGCTGCTTCCCATCAAAGATGACAGGAGACATGTTGACATGTCCCATTAAGGAAAAGCTCATGATGGTTTCAGGGTGTTTCTATTGTTCACTACGGCTCAATGTCACGACTTACAGGAACACTTGAAGTGAGCAGAGCCATCGTTAATGTTATAAGTGCTTCTCTTACAATGAAGTCAACATGTCTGCTGTGAAAAGGACAAAGAAATTGCCATGGTGACAGGGAGTGGTGTGATGTGCAATAAGACATGTGATCTGCAAACACACTGGGCATGTTGCCGTAAAAAACAAACATAAAATCCCCAACCTTCTTAAATTATGATTTTTAGGAGAGTGGAGGCGATGCTATGGTAGAAGAACGATAACCCACAACATTAAGGCATATTTGACCTTTAATGATATATATGATATACAGTACTTGTGGCAGGGCTTTTACATGCTTTCTATGAGGTCCAGATTACATTGGGTGTTTCTCAATCGCGAGTAAAGCTGCTTCAGAGCCACTATTTCAAGCATACTACGTCATCGAGTGCCGCCGAAGTACTGTTCCAATCTCCAGCATACTTGGAAATCTACCGAGCCCGGCGTAC